GTTTCTTTGTATGCGAAAAGGATAAGGGGCCATTTGCTTTAAAATTGGGAATCTTGCTTTCAATACACCAAAAGCACGTTCGATAACATTTCTAAGTTGTGCGTGGGCATGATTGAATCTTTCTTCTTTGGTCAAGGCACGTCGACGTCGAAAATCAGCTAGCCAATATCTTGTATTGCGATATGGAGTCAAAAATCCACGCGTGTTGGCATATGCAGCATCACAAAGATAATATTTTTMTAYATTTAACATGTAAGAAAAATTTATTGTTAAGTAAAATGTATAAGAAATARATTATATTCAATATTAAGTAAAAATTCTAAATACCTGTTTTGTTTTTCAGCCTCGTCCATGCATTGTATTTGGCTTTCAAATAATCATAATGGTTTTTCATTTGTTTTTGTTCTACGACAAAGTTATGTTTGTTTTTAAGCGTCTCCGCAACATTCTTCCATGAACGCGGCTTAAGATTGGTGCCTTCTCGTCCATGTACAACAACCTCTTGTATACATGCTTCAAGAAATGTTCGCACCACACTCTCTTTTTTCCAATTTATTCTACGTCTCTTTGGTTGTGAACTCTCATTGACAATGTCCATACCTTACAAAGTACCACATATAAAAGATATCTTATAAYATGCCTAAAAGGTATACACTCTAAGTAATTTGTTCTATATACACATGTGCATACGTATGTATAAATCAGAAAACGTACATCTTCAATATGTTACGTAATGTAATATATATGATCAAGAAAGATAAAGGACCAAGAATTAAGAAAGGAAATACCATTTAATTGGCATGGTTATTTGCAGTAGCTAATAAATTGAGATATAATGGTCAAAATGTGTGCAAGTATACTTGACTTGTAAAGGGCACTCCATACCCTGTGATTCATAGCACAAACTAGATTCCATTGAAGTAGCTAATAAATAATGCATTATCCATTTAATTGGCATGGTTATTTGCAGTAGCTAATAAATAATGCATTATCCATTGAAGCATGTCATGCTATGCTATCATTCATTTCCA